GGCTTTAGGGGGGGGAAGTTTAAAAATGACTTAGGATCGTAACAAGAACTCTATGTAAGGTGAGGCTTCTGAATTGATGAATGCTATTGCATGTAGGGCTTTAGGGGGGGAAGTTTTAAAATGACTTAGGATCGTGAGAAGAAGTCTATTTAAGAGGAGGCTTCTGAATTGAGGAGTATTATTGCATGTATGTAAGGGGAGGCTTCTGAATCAATGAATGCATGGCATGTAGGGCTTTAGGGGGGAAAAATTTCAAAATGGCTTAGGACCGTGGGAAGAACTCTATGTAAGGGGAGGCTTCTGAATTGTTGAATACTATTGCATGTAGGGCTTTAGGGGTGACAATCTTATAAAAAGACTTCGGATCGTGAGAAAATGTCTATGTAAGAGGAGGCTTCTGAATTGAGGAGTATTATTGCATGTAGGGGTTTAGGGGGGGAAGTTTTAAAATGACTTAGGATCGTAAAAAGAACTCTATGTGTGGGGAGGCCTCTGAATTGATGAATACCTGCAGCACCTGCTGCGTGATGATTATTGCATAAGTTGATAATGATCAATCATCCTGATCAAGCACAGGTAATTTCCACAGATGATATGTTATTTGCGGAGACGTTCGTGTGCGCACGGGTTTTTACGCACATGGCCCACTTCGCACGCCTTCGGTTTCTCAAGTAGATCAGCGCTATAGGACGGTATAAGACATCCAAAAATGCAGAAATAGGTTGTGAAAAGCATATATTTTGAGCAGGCTTTGGTACGGTTAACGCATGATCAAAAATGATAAAAAATATCGAAATTAGGTTGCGTTTTGGTTGTTTTGTGGTGGTATCCATATAAAGGACCAAATGCATAAAACAAATTCAAAACATAAGCCAGCCATGCCAAAGCAATGCAAATAACATCGCATTGTGTGTTTGACATGAACTGCAAGCATCCCATGCACATCAATACGTGTGCAAAATAAGCGCAACATGCGCCATGCACTTGGTGTGCAGGATAACCATATACCAAAACCGCATTCAGAGACAACATAAACGAATCCAAGGTTTGTGCACCTCAAAAAATCAAATACTGTACATGATCAATTACCTTGGGCATACCTTGAGGACACCCCCCTACATGCCCATACATACATCGATATAACCCAAATGAAGCACGTGGACTTCAATTACAACAAGTCCAGATGTGTATAGACATGATCATGTTCTTGAGGATTGTTTAGGTGAATCCACCGAAGCTATCCATATTATCCATATATATATACATATGATAATAATTGATAAACAATCTGAACTCAAGGTCAGGCCCGTACAAGGATGTAGGGCATCATGCACAGTCGGTTGCTTCTTTTCCACCAGCTATTTGAATCCGAGTACTGCAGGATATGGCATTTCGTATGTCCCTTGGGTCTTGTGCTATGTCAAAGCACGCACTTTGTGACCCAAAAACCTGATATTTTGGACAAAGGCAACCCTATTTTTTTACGTAAAATTTGCATACTTTTGGCGTAATGGTGCACGCAAAGTGAACGTAAAGTGAACGTAAAGTGAACGCCTTGGAACGGGTACGGGTATTATCGCGTACATTACGGGTAGGTACGGGTACGGCAATTAACGTACCAGCACGGTATTTAACATATCTATTACGGGTATTTACGTACATGTACGGGCTCATTTCTTTGTTTTTTTTGAACGCGCTTAAAACGTGAGAAATAGGCGTCAAAGGGCTATCAAGCAAAGAAAAAAACATCTGTAGTCGCGACCAGTTGTCTTGACGGCTGAGCTGAGCAAACACATGCTGCCATTCGACAGCTGTGCAGCGGATGACGCAGACAGGATGCTCAACAAGGTAAAGTCGCGCTTGTCGGATATGTGTATATGTGTACATGTGTCGCTGATTTTTTTTCTTTTAATATACATATATACATATATTATATATATAAATATATATCCATATAGAAATAAAACACAAAATGATGTCTCATGCACCCATGTAGTTGCATGCTCGTGGGCCATCCTCGTCAGAAAAAGGTGGCCGGTACCGTGATTCTGCAACCCACGGTTGATTCGCATTTTGATCCCCATGCATCATTATGGACACATCCACATATGCATGTATATTTACGTACATCTGAAGAGGTGGCGCTCATGTGCCTCCAACAATTTATATTTCAATATACAGTGCATGAGAAGTATATATAACACAGTGAATCCTTCATATCATACATCCAAAAATAAAAACCCATGTATATGCCGGTATGCCATATGCAAATCTACATGCATAAATAAAAATATGCATGTCCATTATATATTATATATATGGTTCTATTTTATACATGGTGATTAGATATATATGATGGTGATTATGTGCATATATATGGTGATTATGTATACAAAAACTAATGCACTATATACATACAATGCACCATATATATATATATATAACGCACATGGAACCGGATCCGGCCAGGCATGAAACAGTCCAAACGGGAATTAACGGCCCGCATAATAATTTTTGAACTAGATTCCCAATGATCAATCATTTTCATTTGGAGCAATGTTTGGCAACCAAGCAGGGTCGCAGGTATTGATGAATGCTATTGAATGTAGGGCTTTGGGGGGGGACGTTTTTAAAATGACTTAGGATCGTGAGAAGAACGCTATGTAAGGTGAGGCTTCTGAATTGATGAATACTATTGCATGTAGGGCTTTAGGGGGGGAAGTTTTTAAACTGACTTAGGATCGTAATAAGAACTCTATGTAAGAGGAGGCTTCTGAATTGAGGAGTATTATTGCATGTAGGGCTTTGGGGGGTAAGTTTTAAAATGACTTAGGATCGTAACAAGAACTCTATATGAGGGGAGGCTTCTGAATTGATGAATGCTATTGCATGTAGGGCTTTGGGGGTGGAAGTTTTTACAATGACTTAGGATCGTGAGAAGAACTCTATGTAAGGTGAGGCTTCTGAATTGATGAATACTATTGCATATAGGGCTTTAGGGGGGGGAAGTTTAAAAATGACTGAGGATCGTGAGAAGAACTCCATGTAAGAGGAGGCTTCTCTGTTTGAGGAGTATTATTGCATGTAGGGCTTTGGGGTGGGAAGTTTTTAAAAATGACTAACAATCTTCGGGAAACCAGTGGCTGAATCCGAAAGTATTCGTTCTCGAATCCTCACACATTCGTGCTGGAAGATTTGTGCTTGAATCTGGTCACAAAAGTTCTGGAAGATTGGCCTTTCATGCTTGAAGATATGTGGCTGAAACCTACAGTATTTGTTCTTGAATCCGATCATATTTGTGCTGGGAGATTTGTGCTTAAATCTGCACGCGAAAGTTCTCGAATACTATCCATTCGTGCTTGAAGATTCGTGGCTGAATCCGAGCACGTTCGTGGCGGAATCCTGGGACATTTGTGGCAGAAGCTTAAGTGGCTGAATCCGATACGTTCTTGAATCGGAATTTGTTCTCCCTTACTTAGTTCAATTTGCCTGGCATCCTCTCCTTGGTTTCTATGGCGTTTCTATGGGATTTTGACAAAATTTCTATGGAAATTCTATGTAATTTCTATGGTGTTTCTATGATATTCTATGATGTGTCTAAAGGTGTGTCTATGGTAGTTCTGTGGGATTCCTATGGGGTTTCAAAAGGATGTCTATGGGATTTCCTTTGGATTCCTATGGTGTTTCTGTGGTATTTCTGTGGGATTTCTTTGGGATGTACATGATATTTCTTTTGGATTTCTATGATATTTCGATGAGATTACTATGGGATTTTACAAAAAACTATGATATGTCTAGAGGGTTTCTTTGGGAATTCTATGGGGTGTCCGTGAAGTTTCTTTGGAGTTTCTATGGTGGTTCTATGATATTTCTATGGGATCCTTAAGGTTTCCATGACACCCCATAGAAAATCCCATAGTTGCCCCAGAGAAATATTATAGAAATACCAATGGTACTTCTATGGGATTCCTATGGGGTTTCAAAAAGATGCCTATGGGATTTCCATTGGATTGCTATGGGATTTCCACTATGTTTCTGTGATATTCCTAGAAAAATTCTATGGGATTTCTGAAGGGATGCTATGGGAATTCAATGGTATTCTTATGGGATTCCCATTGGGCCCCTATGAGATTTCTATGGTATTTCTATGATGTTTCTGTGGGATTTCTTTGGGATTCCTATGGGATTCCTATCGCATTCCTATGGGAGTTCCATGATGTTTCTATGATATTTCTATGGGATTCCTGAAGGAATTCTATGAGATTCTAATGGGATTTCTGTTGGCAGTTCCATGATATTTCTATGATATTTCTGGGGGATTACTATGGGATGTCAATTGAAAGTAAGTTGAAATCAATTGAAAATAAATTCAAACTAAATTGAAATCAAATGAAAATCCATCGAAAGTAAGTTGGCTTCAATTGAAAATCAATTGAACGTAAATTGAGATCAATTGAAAGTCAATTGAAAGTAAGTTGAAATCAATTGAAAATCAATTGAACGTAAATTGAAAATAAAATTAAACCTATTCAAAGTAAGTTGAAATCAATTGAAAGTAAATTGAAAATCAGTTGAAATCAATGGAACATAAATTGAAATCAATTGAAAATCAGTTGAAAGTAAATTGAAATCAACTGAAAGTAAATTGAAATCAATTGAAAATCAATTGAAATCAGTTGAAAGTAAATTGAAACCAATTGAAAATCAATTGAAAATAAATTCAAAGTAATTTGAAATCAATTGAAAGTAAATTGAAATCAATTGAAAATCAATTGAAAATCAATTGAAAGCAAATTGAAATCAATTGAAATCTATCATTTATTGATTTTACATTATTCAGACCCGTGCGCTTGAAAATTTCCACACTAAAGAGACTCAAAGAATTGTTTAGGGGGGATCCCTCACACTAATCAGGATACGACACTAATGGCTGAATAATGCTTGAATAATGTTTTAATAAACTATAGGTGTGTTGAAAACCACAGCCTGCCCTGCTTGTCCTCCACAGGTGGAGACGCATCGTAGGCTGCCTCCTGCCATGTAGCGCGCAAGAATGAAATAACAAGCAGAACACCTAAGGCTGGAAAAGATTGTCTGGAGACAACACAAGCTGCCAGGAAAGCCTGCACACGCCAGATGTAGATCTTGACTCTCCAAAAACTCTTCAACAATTCTCAAGGCCGGCAGCAAGTCTCCTGCTGATACATTTCTGCTAGTAGCTCTGAAGAAAGAGCCGGAGTTTCCTGGCCAAAACCACCACCAGCAGCACAAGTCTGGCGGAACCAAGCAGGACTCACATACTTTTCACTAGTCTTTATACACCTTCACTGGTTCTGAACTCAATTCTCTAAGTCGCCGCCTCTGGCAAGCGTGAGGATTCACAATCCTCTTACTTGCAGCCCAGATTGAGACATCTAACTGACGGAAGGCTGTCTTTCTGGCTGCTTCCAGCGCATGCAGGATCATTCTGCATGATGCAGCATCATTTTTCATCATTAAATGCCTTTGACTTAGTTTGGATCATGTTGAAAATGATTCAATAATGCTTAAATACTGCTTGCATAATGATTTAATAAACTGTGGGTGTGTTGAAAACCACAGCCTGCCCTGCTTGTCCTCCACAGGTGGAGACGCATCGTAGGCTGCCTCCTGCCATGTAGCGCGCAACACTGAAATGACAAGCAGAACACCTAAGGCCGGAAACGATTGTCTAGTCCACCCATGCTGCCGGGAAAGCCTGCAAACGCCAGATGTAGATCTTGACTCTCCAAAAATTATTCAACACTTCTCAAGGCCGGCAGCAAGTCTCCTGCTGATACATTTCTGCTAGTAGCTCTGAAGAAAGAGCCGGAGTTTCCTGGCCAAAACCACCACCAGCAGCACAAGTCGGAACCAAGCAGGACCCACATACTTTTCACTAGTCTTTATACACCTTCACTGGTTCTGAACTCAATTCTCTAAGTCGCCTCTGGCAAGCATGAGGATTCACAATCCTCTTCCTTGCAGCCCAAATTGAGACGTCTGAGTGAAGGATCTCTCTGTTTCCCAAATTTGGGTGTTGTCCTCATTTCATGCACAAGTAATTCTAAGTTTTCACAAACCTGGAAATTGAAAGCATCTCAAGAGAGAGCATTTAACACTACAAGTAGCCACCTCAGATGGTCAACCATTTCTGCCTGTCCTCTGCAGGCTGCTGATGATTCGCAGCCTCCTGTCAATGGAGTCAAGGGCTTATCCAGACAAGTGGCTTCAGATAGCTTCAGGCCGACGACAGAAGTAAAATGAAGAAACAACATCGGAGCACTTGTGCAACGTTGTCCAATCGAGACTTCTGGCTAACTGATGGCTTAAACTTTAAACCATAGCAACGGATATTTTAAAGCTACAGTGAAACCACTGTTTAGGAACCTACTGCCATAAGAACTTCAGGGGCTGGATTGCTGGATTCAACCCTTTCTGTCAGCCAATTGAAGTAAGAACCCTAGGGTACCTTGGAATTCTAGCCACTGCTTCTTATTCCCCTTTAACGGATACATGATGATACATATCAATATGCAAAACATTGATTATTGATATATGAAAGCAAGAAGCAAAGCACGCAAGAAGCAAGCAAATCGCCAGCGCCACAGGGGCTCGAACCCCAAATACGGCTAGCTAGTCTGAATGCAACAACCTCAGCCCGACGTCAGCCGGACTCACTGCCTTCAAATGCTGCCCTTGGCTTGTGTTTGGTTTGTCTTGGCTTGTCTTGCCTGTGCTGCCTTGTTTCGCCCCCCTAAATCAAAAAAACTTTTTGGGACCTAAGTTTTATCTTCCCCTCGCCTCCATTGCAACCTAATACCACACCAAAATGAATTGGCAAAACCCTCACCATAGCCCCTTAAGAACTAACCCGTTAAGAACTTGAGGGTACCCTCGTTCATAATTCCCATATTTTCCACCTATAGCACGTGAGAACCCCAGGGTAGGCTGGAAAATTCTTGATCGATTCTTATCTAACGGTTCCGCTGTACCCCCGGACAATCCCGAGTCCCGAGAATGAGAATTTGCAACCCACTGATTGTTTTGAACTGGAATTAGGCTTGCAAAGTACCAGGCATGTGAAAACACTGAAAACACTTCAAGCAAATGCTTGGCCGATCGTGGAAACTGAACATGAAGACTGGCGTCATCTGGAATCCATGGGATTACGGGGTGAGAGCCTTCACTACGGCTTCAACTTCAACCTTTGATAAACCTGCAAAGGCAGTAGCAGATCGACGGCCATGATTGTCATCCCACAAGCTTGAGATATCTTGCGAATCTTGTGATGCTGTAAGGCTCTGTAAGGCTCCAACTGATTATCCATCTTTGGGTAGATCCTGCTGCCTGTCACTTGACAAAATGATGACAAGAGTCCGCTGTCCGCTGATGCTCAAGCTGCAGGCCTGGGATGAAGTGCTCTCAGCACTTCTGCTCGGTGTGGACAAATCTGAGTGAGAGCCTTCAGGCGCTGTATGCATCTCGCTCCCGAAGGCTCTACAGTACTCTACTCTACAGTCGCTTTCCTAAAATTTGGTAGTATGCTGGTCATCGCAGACGGTGGACAAAATGTGAAGAGACGTCGACAAACTTCTCTATCTTCGCTATCATCGCTCAGGCCAATATGCATAGCTTCAAACGAAAACATAAAGGTCTGCTGCGTTGAGCCTGCTGAATGTGAACGGGATCTTGGACACTCCTATCGCAGTTCATCGCAGTCATCACAGTTCATTGATATTAGATGATATCCGCCGACCCCGTCGACGGCAAGGAGGAGCGCGTCAGAGAAGACATTACTGCTGGCCTGCTGTTTGGTTGTTTTGGCGGCTGGAAGACAGCTAGTTTTCTTGCTGTTTGGTTGTGTTGGCGGCTGGACGACAGCTAGTTTTCTTGCCGGTTCAGAAAGCAACGAGGATTTTCAGGGGTTTGGCGCTTGGAAGAGAGCTAGTTTTCTTATGGGTTCAGAAGGTGACGTCAGGCAGTGGGGGCCGTTGCCCGCAGGTCCGCGCCGTCCTTGCGGGCCATGCTGTTTGGGCGTGGCGGAGGCGCCGTTGTTGAGCCTTGGCGACTGGAAGACAGCTAGTTTTCGTGGTGTTTAAGCCCTGCGAAGGGGTCCCTTGACCGGAGCCGTGCAAGGTTTGAAGCTAGTTTCTAGGCAGTTCAGAAAGCAACGTTTGGCAGTCTGGGCTGCCGGCCACGGGCCGGATCCGTCCCTCACTGCCACGGTGTTTAAGCCCTGCGAAGGCTTGACCGGAGCCGTGCAAGGCTTGAAGCTAGTTTCTAGGCAGTTTTGAAAGCAACGTTTGGCAGTTTGGGGTGCCGGCCACGGGCCCGATCCGTCCTTCACTGACATGGTGTTTAAGCCCTGCGAAGGGGTCCCTTGACCGGCCGTGCAAGGTTTGAAGCTAGTTTCTAGGCAGTTCAGAAAGCAACGTTTGGCAGTTTGGGGTGCCGGCCCCGGGCCCGATCCGTACTTCACTGCCATGGCGTTGAAGCCCTGCGAAGGGGTCCCTTGACCGGCCGTGCAAGGTTTGAAGCTAGTTTCTAGGCAGTTCAGAAAGCAACGTTTGGCAGTTTGGGGTGCCGGCCCCGGGCCCGATCCGCACTTCACTGCCATGGCGTTGAAGCCCTGCGAAGGGGTCCCTTGACCGGAGCCGTGCAAAGTTTGAAGCTAGTTTCTAGGAAGTTCAGAAAGCAACGTTTGGCAGTTTGGGCTGCCGGCCGCGGGCCCGATCGGTCCTTCACTGCCACGGTGTTTAAGCCCTGCGAAGGGGTCCCTTGACTGGAGCCGTGCAAGGTTTGAAGCTAGTTTCTAGGCAGTTCAGAAGGCAACGTTTGACAGTTTGGGGTGCCGGTCGCGGGCCCGATCCGTCCTTCACCGCTACGGTGTTTAAGCCCTGCGAAGGGGTCCCTTGACCGGAGCTGTGCAAGGTTTGAAGCTAGTTTCGAGGCAATTCAGAATGCAACATTTGGCAGACTGGGCTGCCGGCCACAGGCCGGATCCGTCCTTCACTGCCACGGTGTTTAAGCCATGCAAAGGGGTCCCTGGACCGGAGCCGTGCAAGTTTTGAAGCTAGTTTCTAGGCAGTTCAGAAAGCAACGTTTGGCAGTTTGGGCTGCCGGCCACGGGCCCTATCCGTCCTTCACTGCCACGGTGTTTAAGCCCTGCGAAGAGGTCCCTTGACCGGAGCCGTGCAAGGTTGGAAGCTAGTTTCTATATAGGCAGTTCAGAAAGCAACGTTTGGCAGTTTGGGGTGCCGGCCACGGGCCCGTCCTTCACTGCCACGGTGTTTAAGCCCTGCGAAGGGGTCCCTTGACCGGAGCCGTGCAAGGTTGGAAGCTAGTTTATAGGTTATAGGCAGTTCAGAAAGCAACGTTTGGCAGTTTGGGGTGCCGGCCGCGGGCCCGATCCGTACTTCACTGCCATGGCGTTGAAGCCCTGCGAAGGGGTCCCTTGACCGGAGCCGTGCAAGGTTTGAAGCTAGTTTCTAGGCAGTTCAGAAAGCAACGTTTGGCAGTTTGGGGTGCCGGCCACGGGCCGTCCTTCACTGCCATGGTGTTTACGCCCTGTGAAGGGGTCCCTTGACTGAAGCCGCGCAGCACGAAAGCCAGCTGCAAGAGGACGCAGGCAAGTTGGCAATTGTTGGCAGTTGGCAGTGCAGGAGGGCAGGCGAAAGCCAGCTGCAAGAGGCTGCAAGAGGACGCAGGCAAGTTGGCAGTTGGCAGTGCAGGAGGGCCAACGTTTGGCAGTTTGGGCTGCCGGCCACGGGCCTGATCCGTGCTTCATTGCCATGGTGGTTGAGCCCTGCGAAGGGGTCCCTTGACCGGAACCGTGCAACACGAAAGCCAGCTGCAAGAGGACGCAGGCAAGTTGGCAGTTGGCAATGCAGGAGGGCAGGTACAAGCAAGGTTTGAAATAGTTTCTAGGCGGTTCAGAAAGCAACGCTTGGCAGTTGGGGCTGCCGGCCATGGGCTCGATCCGTTCTTCACTGCCACGGTGTTTAAGCCCTGCGAAGGGGTCTCTGGACCGGAGCCGTGCAGCACGAAAGCCAGCTGCAAGAGGACGCAGGCAAGTTGGCAGTTGGCAGTGCAGGAGGGCAGGTAAAAGCAAGGTTTGAAGCTACTATTATAGTTTCTAGGCAGTTCAGAAAGTAACGTTTGGCAATTTAGGCTGCCGGCCAGGGGCCCGATCCGTCCTTCACTGCCATGGTGTTGAAGCCCTGCGAAGGGGTCCCTTGACCGGAGCCGTGCAAGGTTTGAAGCTATAGGCAGTTCAGAAAGCAACATTTGGCACTTTGGGCTGCCGGTCGCGGGCCCGATCCGTTCTTCAGTGCTACGGTGTTTAAGCCCTGCGGAGGGGTCCCTTGACCGGAGCCGTGCAAAGTTTGAAGCTAAGTTTCGAAGCAATTCAGAAAGCAACGTTTGGCAGTTTGGGCTGCCGGCCACGGGCCCGATCCGACCTTCACTGCCACGGTGTTTAAGCCCTGCGAAGGAGTCCCTTGACCGGAGCCGTGCAAAGTTTGAAGCTAGTTTCTAGGCAGTTCAGAAAGCAACGTTTGGCAGTTTGGGCTGCCGGCCACGGGCTCGATCCGTCCTTCACTGCCACGGTGCAGAAGCCCTGCGAAGGGGTCCCTTGACCGGAGCCGTGCAAGGTTGGAAGCTAGTTTCCCAGTTCAGAAAGCAACGTTTGGGCAGTTTGGGGTGCCGGCCGCAGGCCCGATCCGTCCTTCCCTGCCATGGTGTTTAAGCCTTGCGAGAGCCTCGACCGGAGCCGCGCAGCACGAAAGCCAGCTGCAAGCAGTTGGCAGTGCAGGAGGGCAGGTAAAAGCAAGGTTTGAAGCTACTAGTTTATGCTACCGGCGCTGTTAACGGACCCGCAGGTTTTGCTGTTTTTTTGTTGTCGCATTAGGATTATGTTAACACGTCAGTGATGTTACGTCGTTTCCTTTCTTTTGGGGGGGTGGGGGTGGGGGCATGATAACGTCCTTTCGTTCGCGTCCTCTCTTCGGTTTATGTTAACACGTCAGGGATGTCACGCTCTTGACTTTCTTTGGTTTATGTTAACACGTCAGTGATGTTACGCGCTTGGCTTTCGTTGTCTTCTCTTTCGTCTTTTTCTTTCGTTGTCTTGTCCTTCGCGAGACAGAGGTGCTGCGGGTGTAGAAATACATAGATTCAAAGTGTATATTGTATCTTTTAAATCCATAGGTGTCATCAGTTAAGCACACACTCATGTGGGCTTCAGTCATGTGGGGCTTTTGAAGACGTCGTGTTTCTTCAATTGGAATTCTTCTTTCGTTACCAGATATTTGTCAGGTTCAACTAACTTATCTTTCTTGCAATGGGTTTATTTTTCCATGTGTTTGTTTCAAAGCATTTTGTATGGTGGACTCCCCGGTAAAGCCGTTGTAACCATATATAGGTTAACATTATCCATTTGGTTGAATTAATGACTGATGAACTCGAGGACACATCACATAGCGTCAATTTGGAACGCCCGTGTTGGAATGGAATTGTTAAAATCCGTTTGTGCATGACTTTGTTGTTATGTTAAAGAACCAAATGGCATGTTAACGGAAAGACATCCAGTGCACATGCAGCACATTTCTCTACCTCGAGACTTCCATATCCATATGGACGCTGACGAAGTGGCTGTCCGCTTCAGCGTAACTCTATTTTTTTGCTTTTGCTGGCACGTCCCGAAGATTGTGGTCATGATTATCGATGGTCTGCAGACGATTTTGCAGATGTCCTTGTCGAACTTGGGTTGATTTGAGTACGCACTTTTTTTTTTGGCTGGGTGTCCCTGAAAAGTAGGAAACAATGTAAATTGCGTATGGTTTCTTGAGGGCATGTGAACCCTGTCTAGGTATTGTTGATGCCGCATACTGTTCGTGCATATGCATCCCGCTCTGATGTTGAGACGATCTTGCGGGAGGATTTACATGGTCTGACATCCATGCAATTGATTTCTTCCTTGAAGCATTTTATCGTACTGTGGGTGCAGCACTGCAGAAGTTGGACCGCGGGTGTGCCGCCATCGTTTCTGGCAAGCAAAATGTTGAAGTTGTCTGGCCAGTGGTCCAATTTCCTCGAGAACCGCGTGAGCCAAACCGATTTCTATTTGTGGTTGACACTTCGTGGACCTGCACGAAACTTGATGTCGTATCTTTGGTCGTTGGTTGAAGAAGATGCCGTCCCAGCACTGGTGGAACAAACGGCTGAATTGTCTGAAAATGATGTGCCGGAAGATTTTGCATCGAATGGTTCGTCGGAAAGTTTATCACCTCCAAACGAATTTGACAGTCCTCCTCACCGACGTGCAAAGATAGATCATTGGACTCGACACAGTGAACCGCCACAGACAGACGCGGCTTCTTCTTCAACTGGACCTTCACAGACACACGCTGCTTCTTCTTCTTCATCTGGATCGCATGTCTCCATGCTGCAACGTGCAGAGATCTTTCAAGGTCGCAATGCATATGCAGAGGAAGTGCCTTTGCCCAAGACAAAATGGGGTCGATGTCCGAAACACTCTTGCCAATATGCGTTGAAGCCTCATTTGTTCCAGACGGGCCAATGGGCGGGTCAGATGAGGCTGCTGTGTTCTCAGTTCTGGCGTACAGAACACTCGTGCAGGCTCTGTTTCGAAAGCGTACCTGTTCCCGACGAAATGTGGAAGAAGTTGCCAGCTCATCT